CCTTGTTTCTGTAGAGTCCAGAAGAGGTCATTGGATCCTCAAGAACTGATAATAATGATGATTGTGAGCTACTATAGGGGTACTGGGAATTAAACCTGGGTCCTCTGGAAGAACAGTAATACTCTTAACTGCTGAACCAGCCTCCAACCCCTACCTGACTTGATCTTTAAAGAAATTACACAGAGGAGTTAAGTAACTTGTCTAAATCATTTGAACCTATTATCTGGCCCCAGATTCTACCATTAACCAGTAAACGTAATTTAAGGAGCTACAGTAGATTAGATACTTGCTCTGTCTTAGGCATTGACAAATGTTTTGCAGTTCAGCTAATGTCCATATGATAGTTACATAATATGTGCACCATTGTGTAGATAAGTACTAACATGACTGTGATGACAGAAATTAGATGAAGTAACTACATGAGATCACTTTTATGAAATTGGCCTATGAATGTGCCTCATTTAAAACATGCTGCTAGTAACCATCAGTCTAGAAAAAGCTTCTGGCTTTTTGCAAACATCATGTTTCATAGGGCTTATCCTTAAATTTGAGAATGGCCCATCCTTCAATTTCAGAATGGCTCAGATAAACTATAATATCCTAAACCAAACTTAAAGCTTATTAAATGATTTTTTTATATTTATAATGTTTTTTGAGACAAAGACTCACTCAGTAGGTTAAAGTGGCCTGAAATTCACTATGTTGTCCAGGCTGGCCTTAAACTAACATTATTCTCCTGCCTTAGTCTTCCACATACTAGGATTACAATCATGAAGTACCACACTTGACTTAAAATATTTTTTTTTTAAGATACAGACTTTCTATGTTGTTCTAGGCTGATCTCCCAACTCACTTTATTCTCAAGTGTGGGAAATAGAGATAGACAAATTCTCCCATGCCTGAAATGCTAATGAGAGAGAGAGAGAGAGAGAGAGAGAGAGAGTGTGTTGGTGATCTAACATGTACATGTCTTACATGTACTAAGCATATATTTTACCACTGAGCTTTATCTTTATTCACCTGCTAATTTTTTTCACTTCTTAAGATTTAATCTTATGGGATGGAGAGATGGCTCAGAGGTTAAGAGCTCTGGCTGCCCTTCTGGAAGTTCTGAGTTCAATTCCCAGCAACCACATGGTGGTTCCCAACCATTCATAATGAGATCTGGTTCCCTCTTCTGGTGTGCAGGCACACATGCAGACAGAACATTGTATATACAGTAAATAAATCTTTTAAAAAAGATTTTTTATTTCATGTATATGAGTGTTTTACTTGTATATATGTATATGTACCAGTAGCATACCTGTGGAGGTCAGAAGAGGGCAACAAGTACACTTAACCCCTGAGCCCTCTTTCCAGCTCATGTTTTTTCCCCCAGAATTGGTTAAAAAATTACAATTTTTTTCCTATCACTTTTATTGTTATCAACGATGTTTAAAATAACATACATGTATAAATAAGATCAAAATGGAATATTTTGATCACCAAAAAATGGGATCAATTCCTCTTAGGTTTCTTTATGTAAATTTTATACTGTTATCTATCCATCTTAATTATTTAGTATCTAGATTATTGTAGCATGTATGAAAAGCACAGTTTTACTGTTGTTTTGGGTGGGGTTCTTTTTGTGAAGGATTGGTTTACTGTAGTTAGGGACAGATTTTTTTTTTTTATATATTAGCCAGTTTGGTCTCAAACTTTGAACTCTTCTTAGTCTCTTTTTAAAATTTAATTTAATTTTATATGCATTGATGTGAAGGTGTCAAACAACCTGGAACCGGAGATGTAAGCTGCCATGTAGGTGCTGGGAGTTGAACCTGTGTCCTTTGGAAGAGCAGACAGTGCTCTTAACCATTGAGCCATCTCTCAGTACTTATTATCTTAAGTATTGGTATTAGAAACATGTACTGCCATGACCAGCTCTTGTGGTTTTATTTTTTCATTTTGTACTTTTTTAGATGAAAGCGGAAAAAACCTAACTGATTTGTTTTATTATTACAATGACTATCATGAATTGAATTTTCATTTTCTGGTTTTTGTTCATAGTTCAGAGATCTTTACATGCTCTTTTTTTAAATTCTATCCATTTTCTTTTTTAATGTTCACTTTTTACTTTATTTTAGTTTTTTGTTGTTTTGAGACAGGATCTCTTTCTCTATATAGTCCATGTTGTTGTGGAACTCTGGCCTTGAACTCACAGAGATCTGCCTCCTGAGTGCTGGGATTAAAGGTGTGTTGTGAGTCACCACACTTGACAAATTTCCACTTTTTAAAAATTGAAATAGAATTATATTACTTTCCCCTTCCCTTTCTTTTCTAGCCCTTTCCATTTTCCCTCTTTCATGTCTCTCCAAAGTTCCTACTCTCAATTTGATAGCCACTTTTTTCTTTGTTACTGTTACATATATCTATACATATATGCATATGTGTATGTATGCATACATGTATGTAAACATATATATTCTTGCTTATGTATAAATGGTTTCAAGGTTGATATCTCTGGAATGGATATCCAATAAGGAGGCTCTTCTCTGGGAGTGGCTAATTTTTCTCCCAGCTGTCATTAGTTGCCTGTAGTTCTTTGTCTAGGGGTGGGAACAGAGAAGTTTCTCAAACTTGGAATCCCCCTGCCTTAGTCTCTTGAGAGCTGGGGTTATAAGCATGTATCATGATGCTCAACTTTTGTAGTATATATGTATGTATGTATGTATTTATGTATGTATGTATGTATTTTTTGAGACGGCATTACATAGCACTGGCTGTCCAGGAACTCTCTATGTTGACCAGGCCTCAGACTCAATGGAGATTCACCTCCCTCTGCCAAGTGTTGGGATTAAAGACATGCACCACCATACCAAGTCTTGTAGATGTGGTGTTTTTTTTTGTTTTGTTTTGTTTTGTTTTGTTTTGTTTTGTTTTGTTGGAGACAGGTTTTCTCTGTGTAGCCTTGGCTATCCTGGACTCACTTTGTAGACCAGGCTGGCCTGGAACTCAGAGATCCGTCTGCCTTCCAAGCACTGGATTAAAGGAGTGTACCGTCACCCAGTATTATTTGTTTTTGTTTTGAGCAGGGTTTTTCTCTGTGGTCTTGGATGTCCTGAACTCCCTTTGTAGACAAGGCTGGTCTCGAACTCACAGAGATCCATCTGCCTCTTCCTCCCAAAGTACTGGGAATGCAGTCGTGTACCACTGTGCCCAGCTCTCCTGTAGCTTTTAAATTTTAAATTTATTTGTGTATGTGTGCAGGTGCGTGTGTGCGTATGCTTGCAGTTGTACTTGTGCTTTTGCTACTATGTGGTTTTTTGCCATTGTGTATATGGAGGTCAGAGGACAACTTGCCCTAGTTGATTTTTACCTCCACTATGTGAATCCTGAGAATTCAAACTCAGATCAAGTTTGGCAGCAAGTGCTTTTACCCACCATGCCATCTCAGCAACCTTAGATGGGATCTGACTGTGTTGCCCAGGTTAGCCCTGTCTTAACTTTTCAAGTAGTTAGGACTGTAGGCACATTATCCCATATCCAGTGGAAATTTTTTTATTCTTCCATAATTAATTAGATAGACAATGGTCTGTATCATTTTCCTCTCCTATAGTAAAGGGGTACTGAAAATGTCTTTCTGTAATATGTTACATGGATTCACTAACATTGATAGAGTACCTAAAAGTGTTAGTTACTACCAATGATAGTGATATTGAGTCTCACTTGTTATTTTCCTGTTGAGGACTGCCAAAATAATTAACATTTAAATAAGCTACTGCTGATAGGAATTTAAACACTTCAGATTGCCTTGAAACTACCTTCAGTTTTGTTGTTGTTATATAGCACAAACATACCTATTATTTTACTATGCATATTACTAAAAGGAATATCCTTACAAATATTACCATGCCTAGAGTGGTTATAATTTATTCCTGGGCTGAATAGTTCACTAACTTATTTTTTTTTTTACAGCTTTAACCCTTGAAAGGGAAGCAAGTATATCTAACTTATTTGTAGGACTGACTAAAAAAAAAAAAACTGGAAAAGAACATAGTGCTAGTTTATGTTTTTACATTTAGGACTTGTTTGGATCCATAAGCAGGCATTTCTACAGCCAGCCCTGAGGGACCTGACAAACCAGTTATCAGGCATCTGTAAGGCCACCTACGGACCACCTATGGACCACTTCAAATCACCTGTGCATGCTCTGTGTCGCCTTATAAGAGAACTTGAAACCCCTCCTCTCTCTCTTTCTCTCCTGCCCTGCCCAGACATCGTCTCTGTAACCCCTTCCCCCCACATGAAACCAGTCGTGTGGCATGATTTGTGAACCCACTGTGTAACTCTTTTGCAAATTCTAATATTGGTGCACTTGTCTGGGAATAGGTGCCTCCAGCATCCACGCTGCATGGTGGTTTTCGGCAACTAGCTATCTGCTGCATTCAACACTGGCTGGATTGGTGAGTTTCCCTCATTGGTCGGCTTAAACATTTCTCTGGGTAAGGGAAAATTGACCTTCCAGTGTCCGGCAACTTCCCACTACACTTTGAGGCAGAGGTACCGTACCCCAACCATGGTCTTCATTGGCTACAGTTAACCCTTTTTGCTGACCTCCATTTAGGGCTTACTCTTTCCCTTGGAAGAGATTTTTTTCCTCTACATGCATAGTTTCTCCCCCTCACACTCGCCTACGAAAATCCTAGCACTAGGTAAACTCTGTCTCCTACGGCAGCTGTGACCTTGGTCTCTGGCCAAAGCTGATGAGCTGTTGGATCAGGTAGGACCATCTCTACATCACCGACTCCTACCTTCCCAAAGGGAACTGCCCATTCTTCTGTTCTTCCACCGTCCCCACTTGGATGTCTTCTGGAGAATTTTAAAACCCTGCACATGGAGCCTGAGTTAAAGGCCTCTTAGCTCATATGTCTCCGTAATAAAACTTGGCCTACATATTCCTTGGATAATAGTTCAAATTGGCTGATTAAAGATACATTAAATCCCAGTATTTTACGGGATCTTTTTAATTACTGTCAGCGATCTGGTAAATGGAAGGAGGTATTTTATGTTCAAGCTTTCTCTCTTCTCTGCTCTAAACCTTCTCTCTGTTGTTCCTGTTCTCCTACCCAACTTCTTCTAACTATAAAGTCTCAACCTCGAGTTCTCTACCTTTGACCCTGCAGATAAACCTCCACTTCGTTGTTCTTAACCCCCAGCTTCTTCCCAGCCTCTGGTGTCTTCCCCTTCCTCTATTTCCTCTTCTTCCTCTTTGGCTTCTCCAGAACCCTAACTCCCCTCCCCAGTAACAGTCTGTCCTAGTTGTCCTACCTTGGCACCCACTTTCACCCCACCAACAGCTATTAGCCCCCCTGCTACCCACTCTCACTCTATAGTGGTGAAAGCGTCACTGGTCCCTGTTTTGTGCTAACTCCCGCAAGGCATCGAGGCCATGTCCAGAATGCCACCAAAAGGGACATTAGGATGTTGCCTGCAGATACTTCTCCCATGATATGGGGGCATCACTCCCAGATAGCCTTCCAGCCTATATCCTAGGCCTGGCTATGGATGACTGAAGGTGCCCGGTTTCCCTTGACCCGACCACTGTCATCACTAGCAGGGAGCCATGGGTATTGGGGCTGCCCATCTCCTTCCTTGTGGACACCGGAGCCACTTACTTATTCCTGATGGAGTACTGGAGACCAACCTCTCCTAGTTCCCCTATTGTCGGGGTAGGAGGACATCCTTGCCAGCCTTGCCAGACTCCACCACTTAATTATATTTTCAGGTGTGTTCCCTTGTCTCATTCCTTTTTAGTGATGCTAACTTGTCCAGTTTCCTTAATGGGAAGGACTTTTTAGCCAAAGTGGGAGCCTCTATCTCCTTTATTCCACCCATTCGCCTTACCCCAAGCTCACTAGTATCCTCTCTCCTCCTCCTAGCTACCCTACCTATCAATTATGACAAAATCCTTCTGTTGCTAGGCACCATTCCTCTGTGGTCATTCAGCTACAGGATCCTACCTGGCATATTACCCAGTTCCTGGTGATGGAAGAAGAAGAGATGGTAATTAAACACTCCTCTAAGTGTGGAGAGCTGCTTGTTTGTTAAGCTGCTTTGTTATTTATCGAAAACTAGTTTTCACCCTGGCCTTTACCTTGAGACAGAAAAAAGAGTAAGTCTGGACAAGTTCCTTAAAACTTGTTTGTGTGACCTTGGACCATATCTGCTATAGGGAAGTAGTTTTAGAAAACAAGTTTGGCACTTGGAACTTCTTTCATATATTGATGTGACTTGCTTTAATTATTTCAATCTTCACTCCCCACTCAGGAACTGTTCAACTCTGCCAGCAGGTTGCTTTAATTACTTCAATCCTCACTCCCCACTCAGGAACTCTTCAACTCTGCCAGCATGCTCCAGCATCTAAGGTTATTACCTCTCTGACATCCCCCCTCCTAAATAATACAAAACTATCATTTTGTCTCCTACTTCAGACTCTGACCTCAGCCTATAAGCTCCTTAATGTGACCCAACCAGGCTGCTTGAAAGCTTGCTGGCTGTATGTCCCACCTGGGACCAACTCAGTACTACCACTGACAGCTTCTCTGGTGACTCTTATCAAGTAACCTTACTTTGCTATTTACTAACTGCCCCAACTCTGATGTTGCAACAGCCCTCTACCTTTTTCATATCACCCTCTTTGGCATGGCAAGCTGTTTCAAGCTATCCAGGACATACCCTGTAGGAATGCTAAGTTCCTTAGAGTGTAATAAAACTATAATCCTTGATACCTCATTTCAACCCCAATGCCCTACTGCTAATACCTCGATTCTTTGTGGCACTCAAGTCTACCATCGTCTGCCTGCTGGTTGGTTAGGAGTTTGCACGCTTGTGCTCTTCTTCCCCAAGCTGAGGGTGATAATGAAGAGTTTAAGTTAGCCTGGGTGACTCTATTTTGAAATGAGGAGCCATCTTGACCGGGAACTGAACTCAGGTACCAGGAAATATGACAGAATGTGCACTTGACAGAAAACAAAGTCAACTCTTCTAGCAACAGCCTCCAAGAAATATCACAGAATAAATACTTAGTGAGAAATAGAGACAATCTCCCTGGCAACAATCAATGAGAATAGGTTGGGAAAATTCTCCCCAACGTTCCAGATATAGTTTAAAAGAATAGCAATTGTGATTATATGCCATAGGCAATTGTGATTATGTGCCTCAGAGAAGGTCACCTCGAACCAATGACTTTTCCAATCCTGTAATGCCAAGGCATGAACCCCCCTGCTTTTGGTTTTTCCCTTTAAAAACCTGCTCACCGAGAGCTCTGGGTCCCACTTCTCTACTGCTATGTCAGTGAGACTGTTGTGCCCAATTCAAGAGACCCCAGAAGACCACTAGGAGTAGAGTCTGTTGCAAATCATACGAGGATCTTTATTCAAGCTTAAGCTCAGGCTGCCAATCTTCCCTGATGTAGCAGGTTAGAAAGTGAGGCCCTGAGTCTCAGGAAGGCAGAGGTTTTAAAGGGGAAAAATGGCAGGTGGGGGTTTCCAAGCCTTACAGGGAAGGGTAAGGTTTTTTTTGGGGGGGGGGAGGTTCAGCAATCAAGATGACCTTTAGGCTACTTGTTCCAAGCCACCTGGACAAACTGACAGATATCTAAGATATCTGTACGATAGCCTGCTGCGTAGAATGGAGGACCCACTAATACATTCTGTGACATTTATGACAACCTGACAACCTGTGGGATGGAGGCCTGATTATAGTTATCTATTTACACATTCTGTGGTATCCATGACAACCTTCAGGGTGAAGGGCCAGGTGGCCCTTCTTGAAACCCAAAGGTAGGGGTCAAGTCACTCCAAGGTCAGTCAACTTAAGATAAAGTTTAAGAAAGAAAATGGAGCCACCCCTGCCATCCTCAGTTCCTTCATTCCCCACCTCTGACAGGTTTATCAAAGGCCCAATCATGGGGCTTCCTCAAGCATGGGCTCCCCTACCTCAGGGATGGGATAGAGGGCCTGATATTGAGCTCTCATGACCATTGGCTGGATCTCTCCTAATCTCTCTGTGATAAATGCAACTAATCTAATATGCAAGGGCCTAGGATTAACATGATTAACAATATCAACAAGGGTCCTATTAAAGCAGATATGAAAGCAGTAAACCAAGGAGAAGCATTAAACCAAGATTCAAACCAACTCTGTTCTGCTGTGTACTCCCTCTCACGTTTAGCCAGGTTTTCCCTGACCTTTGCCAAGGACTCTGACTATCCAGAGTGGTCTGTGTAGAAACAACATTCCCCTTTGAGGGCCACACAGAGTCCTCCTTGTTGGAAAAATAACAAGTCCAGACCTCTCCTATTTTGTAACACAACTTCTGCCAGTGAAGTAAAAGACTTCAAGTGAGAGATGGATTTTTCCAAATTCTGAATATCTGTGTCTATAGCTATTCTGAGGCTATTGTAGCTATGGCTCTGAGTCACCAATGTGGAGATTCCAGTCCCTGCACCTGCTAGTCCTAATCCCAATAGCATTGTCAAAGTGACAGCGGTGAATGGCTCTCTCTTCTTCCTCCTCATTCCTGTTATTGTCGCCTCGAAAAGAGCTTTATTCATCTCCTCATCTGTATGATAAGTAATTCTAGGGATGAGCTGTACCAATATGCAGTATCCCACAGTCTGATTTAGCACTTTGGGATGTATGCAGGGTGTTAGTCCTGTGGAACATGTCTACCATCCTTGCTCAGAGGGAATCAAGTAAGAGTCATTTGAGGGGATTTGTAGGGTTCTGTTATATAAGACCCTATGAGAGGCTGGTATCGGGCCTATGCACTACCCGTACCTGAGACAGCCTGTAAAGTTAAACCAGCCTGATTGGCTCATACCCGCTACAGTCTTGTGGGCTTTGAGAGTAAGAGATCTGCCCATCAAATGCAATGCCCTCATAATATGAGAGCTGAGGGGAGTAACAGAGCCAACATGATTCTGGTAGATCTGGCCTGAACTCATTCAACCAATAGGTCTGCTGCATTAAGGGTCCAGATCTGCTCCTTGTCAAGGTAGAGGCCTGCCAACATGGCAAGTGCCATAGTCTTGCTTGTTATGGCCCTGGTGTAGTCAAACTCGCTTGTTGACCTGGTGGAGACCCTGGGGCTTGTGGTAGGGGTGTGAGGGCTTTGGGTTTTAGGCCTCAAAACTGGATTGGGGCCGATTGCCCGTTGATCTGGTTCTTTGATATGATTTATAAAAAGCTAGATGGTGAAAAGTAACCCTGGATCATAGGTGGTGGAGCCTGCCCTATATATCTTTAATTCCCATGTTTTTCTTGGTTTCCATGTGGCTTGTTTCCCAGATTCAGTAAAGGTGACAGATACTTGATTACATTTGCCTCTGGGCATTCCTCCTATAGCTGGAGACGTATGACATGTGCCACCTATTCCCTTGTTTGTTTGTTTGTTTGTTTTGTTTTGTTTTTGTTTTTGTTTTCTTTTATCCATATCGTTCCTGACCCTGGAAAGTGAGCGGCATAGTTGACATTATTACTGGTATAATGGTATATATACCAGTTATACTGATATAACCAGGCCCATAGTTGCCTCCCCTATGTACTGTGATTCGATCCTTCGTATTAGCTTCCCACCAAATGTGTCCTGTGCTCTCGAATCCCCAGCTGCCCAGAAGTATTGTTCTGCCCCCCCCCCCCCTGCACTTATCTCTCCATGATTTAGTCTTTTCGTGGCCAGGACATACATAGAAATGATGGTTCCGGAGGCTAGCCCCATACCCAGGGTATTTACAGCCATATCCTTCTTCAGGGTTGTTGTAGTCCCAGGTGCCTAGCATATGTGCCAGGTCACAGAGATCAAATTCTACTTGGGGCCACCAGGTATTTGGGCGGGGGGCTAGGCCAGAGGTTACGTTAACGATTTCCCCAATGGCTGTAGCTATTATTTCCCAGGTGAGGTTGAGGGGCTGGTATGGATTTGCAGGAGCAGAAGCAGTTATTAAGGGAAGCAGAGTACATACAATTAACAGTCTCATGATCGGGCGAGTTTGAGCTTGAGTGGGTTCTTGGAGTCCTTTGATACCTTCCATGTTGTCTGATGGTTGGTGTAGTCCTTCTTAGTCTCTAAAGGGCTTGCTGGTCTGGCATGGGTGTAGTGGATCCAGGTGGCAACACCTGTTAACCTTCAAGGCAGTTGGTGTTGTCAACAGTACCACTTACAGCCCCTACCAGGCTTCACTTCTGTGAAGTCTATTTTCCAGTAAGCTCCTGGTTTCTTACCTCTCAGTTTTACCTGCATTTTTACCGTTGGGCACAGCATTTGTCAATTTGCATGCCTTGCAGTTGGAAACAATGACCTCAATCTTGGAGTTAGTATTTTTAATAGTAACTCCTGATTGTCTAATTAAATCTTACATCCTCCGGATACCCATATGGAAAGAGTGATGGCTTTTCTTAACATTTTCTCTCCCAGCCTTTCAGGGAGTATTAAGTTTCCTTCAGTTGATCTCCACCATCCATCTAAGTATTGAGACATGGGAAATCCTTTGGCCCATTCAATGTTCTTTGGAGAATAGTCATATTCCTTAAGGAGGACTGAGTCTCCAGGGTCTACCAGAGCAAGAATGGACTCCATCTGTAATGCAACTGCCTTTGCCATTTGGTCCGCTATGTTGCCTCTGGAGATTGGAGTCTACCCCCTCTAATGTCCTGGACACTGTGTGGTAGCCAGTCTTTCAGTGAGCCAGAGAGCTTTTAATAATGCCAGTATTTCTTCTTTGTTTTTAATAGTTTTCCCTTCAGCTGTCAATAGACCTTGCTCCTGGTAAGTGGCGCAATGCACATGTGCAGTCGCAAAGGTATATCGACTGTCAGTATACATGTTAAAGTTTAGATCTCTTCCCAGAGTCAATGCCTTAGTCAGTGCTATCAGTTCGGCCCTCTGAGCTGAAGTCCCAGGAGGGAGGGGCTCTGCCCATATAGTCTCAGTCAATGACACCACAGCAGCCCCTGCATCCTTTTTCCATCCCTGATGAAGCTGCTTCCATCTGTGAACCAAGTCTTGTCCGAATTGGTCAGGGGGCATCTTGGAGATCGGCTCGGATGCCATGCACATGGGCTAAGATCCCAGCGCAGTCATGCAGGGTGGCGTCCAGATCTGGGTCTGGCAGCAGAGTAGCTGGATCCAAGGAAGTCTGCACCTGAAAAGTGACTCTAGGAGGATTCAGCAACAGTGTTTGATAATGGGTCAGACAAGTGTTGCTCAGCCATCAATCTGGGGGTTGTTTCAGTACTCCCTCAATGGCGTGAGGGGTGGTTATAACCGAGTCCTGCCCTAGAGTCAACTTGTTAGCATCCTTGACCAGTAATGCTACCACAGCAATTATGCGGAAGCATGGGGGCCATCCGGCTGCCACCAAGTCTAGCTTATATAAGTAGGCTATTGGTCTCCTCCATGGTCTGAGCATCTGAATGAGGACCCCCTTTGCTATTCCTTTTTTTTTTTAAATCTATAAACAGTTGGAATGGTTTGGTAACATCAGGCAACCCAAGGGCTGAGGCTGACAGCAATGCCCCTTTTATGGCTTCAAAGGCCTGCTGATACTCAGCCATCCATGAGAAGTCACATGACTGTTCTTTGGTGGCCTCATAAAGTAGCTTAGCAAGTTCGGCAAAATTTGGTATCCAGAGCCTACAGAATCCAGCTGACCCCAGGAATTCCCGTACCTGTCTCTGACTTATGGGGTTCAGAATCTTGAGGACTGTTTCCTTCTGGGCATCTGACAACCATCTTTTACCTTCTTTTAAGACGTGGCTGAGGTGCTGTACTTCTGACCTGCATATTTGGGCTTTTTTAGCAGAGGCTCGATAACCAAGCTCCCCCAGAGTGTTGAGTACATCCTTTGTTCCTTGTAGGCAAGTCTCCTCATCAGACGCAGCTATCAGCAGATCATCCACATACTGCAAGAGAATAAGAATCCTGGCCATGGACTCAATAGCTGCCTAGCAGGATAAGAGGGCAATTCAGATCTTGCCCCTTTTGTCTGTTGCAGGAATCACAGCAGCTGTCAGGACCAGGACAGCAGGTAACTTTCACTAACTTTGTATTATCAGTTTTCTTCCCAGTTTATCCAGTTCCTCTGGCAAGTGGCTCAGACAATGCTAACCCTCCAAGGACAGATCGACTCACTGGCAGCAGTAGTAAGTACTTCAAAACCTACATGAATTGGATCTCCTCACAGCTAAAGAAGGTGGGATTTGCATCTTCCTTCAGGAGGAATGCTGTTTTTATGTTAATCAGTCGGGTATAGTAAATGACAAAATCTAACAACTCCAGACAGATCTACAAAAGCAAAGGGAAAAGCTCGAGGTCTCTAGGCTTTGGGGCCTTTGAGAACCCCATATAGAAATGGATTCTGCCCTTCCTCACACCTCTCTGCTTGTCTTTCTGCTTTTGCTTTTTGCACCCTGCTTAATTAACTTCCTCTCTACATTCCTCTAACAACAAATGTAAAAATTCTCTAACCAAACCATTAATCAATTACTCTTACAGGATTATCAACCTCTGCCTACAGAACGAGATGACAATGATCCTCCAATTAACCCTGATGGTGGGGACCAGCTATACCCTGAGAATGACGATGTCCCTTATCAGCAGGAAGTAGCTAGAAGAGCAGAAGTCGCCCCTATGCCCTCCCCTAGTGCTGGGATTACAGGCTTGCACCAGCATGCCTGGCTAAAATATTTATTCTTAAAATAACAAAATAAAGTATCAATATTTTGAAAGAACAAAAACATTCTTAGACATAAACCTGTTTTAATTAGAAATTTTGCATTGGAAAACAGTTTGGTGTGTTGACAAAAATAGAATTCCTATTTTGGGGTAATTCCTGCTAATCTGTTGTATTCTTAGGATACATGACTATAGTTGGATGTACACCGTAATCTCAGCACTCAAGAAACACAGTGAGGAGGATCATAGCAAGTTTGAAGCCAGCCTGGTCTATATATCTAGGACAAACAGAGTTACATAGTAAGACCCTGTCTCGAAAACACATAAAAAGACTGGGATGAACTGGGCAGAGTTCACACTGAATTTGTCTTTTGACAGAAACAATCCTAGAAGTTCTTAGGTTACCTGAGATACAGAGCCATTTTAGTAGGTAGAGACAGTAGTCTGAAACTTGGGTGTGATATGGTTTGAACTCATGCCAGAAGTGGAGTGAGTGGGTGGAGGACATGAGTGTGCCTCAGGAAAGACATTGTGGTATTCTAATCTTGAGTCTAAGGTACTTTGAAATGATTGAACTTCATTTTTGTCAGGTTATAGTACATATATTCTGAGGATACTGACATGAATGTTTATTATTATATTATAAAATTGAGTAGTCTGTCATCGTTTCCCAAAACATGAACTAAATTTTGCTTTATAAAACTTACAAAAATGATTTCTTGTAAAATACTCTTAAGCAAATTTTAAGCAGATACATTCATTCCTCCTTTTTTTTAGAAGTTGCAATAATAATGAGCCAAAAAAAAAAAAGAGAGAGAGAGAGAGCCCTGGGGTCCCTGAGAACGATACCCCACCAAGGACAATGCATGGAGAGGACCTAAAACCCCTGTCAGCCGTAGCCCATAAACTCAGTCTCCAAGTGGGGTTTCTTGTAAGGAGAACAGGGCCTTTCTCTGGCATGAACTCAGTGGCAGTCTCTCTGATCACCTCCCCCTGGGTGGGTGCAGCCTTGCCAGGCCACAGAGAAAAGCAATGCAACCAGTCCTGATGAGACCTGACAGGCTAGGGTCAGATAGAAGGGGAAGAGGACCTCCCTTATCAGTGGACTAGGGAAGGGTCATAGAGGGAGAAGAGTGAGGGAGGGTGGGGCTGGGAGGAAATGAGGGAGGGGACCACAGCCGGATGGATACAAATTGAATAAATTGTAATAAATGATAATTAAAAAGCATAAAAAACTTAAAAAGATACAACCAAAAAATTGCCATAATGTTTCCCGAATATTTTTTCTGGTTATGAAAAAAATACATGTATTTTTAAGAATAAATCAATATTTTCTTCTGTATGTTGTAGGGTCTTGTGAACAGACCTGAAAATAAATAAAAGTCTATCAGAGGCTGAATTCAAAATAGACGTTTGGGACTTAGAGAGAGAGGGACTACACAACCCTCATTTTTTGTCCTCTGGGTGAAACCTCAAAATATATTCTGAGCTGGGTGTTCCCAGTTCCAGGACTTAGGAAGGAGAAGGGTTGTGAGCTTGAAAGCAACTTGAGCTATATAATGTGATTCTGTCTCAAAAACAAATAGCAAGTGAAGTCTGCAAAGAATGTAAATGTATGTATTTTTCATTTTGTTCAAAGCACCCAATGTGATATTAACTGAAAGAAGAAGAAAAAACTCAGTAGGAGCCAGGTGAGGTGGCACATGCCTGTAACCGAAGGACTCGGGGAGTCAGAGGAAGGTAGATCTCTGCGAGTTTGAGGTCAGCCTGCTTTACAAAGCGAGCCAGGACAGCTAAGGCTACACAGAGAAACCCTGTCAAAAAAAAAAAAAAGGTAGCTGGAGAGATGGCTCAGAGGTTAAGAGCACTTGCTGTTCTTCCAGAGGTCCTGAGTTCAATTCCCAGCAACCACATGGTGACTAGCCTTTGTCACCTGAGAGCTGGCATTAGAGGTATGTGGCACTGTGTGTAGCTTGATGCTCTGGTTCCTATGACACTTTTCCAGGTATTGCCAGCTTCTTAGATAGGTTTTGGAAAAGTCTTGAAGAACAGTATTTAAGATTGACTATTAGAATTCTTCCTGGCTTATTTCTTTCAGTAAGTTTTGATTGATAGATTAATTATCTTTTAAAGTTTTCTTGTTTTTTGTTTGATTGTTTTTAGTGTAAAGAGGGACATAGCTCAGTTTGTAGAGTGCTAGCCTGGTATGCATAAAGCCCTGAGTTTGACACCTAACCCCATAAACTGGCTATGATAGCTCACTGGCCAGGGAGAAGCACATGGTTCAGAAGTCGATGGTCAGCTGCGTAGTGAGTTTGGTGCCAGCCTAGGATACATGAGACCCTCCCCCCAATCTCATTATAACACTCAAAGATAGTGGCTTTTATGATTTTGAAGTTTGGGGATATTTTTAAAGACAGAGTCTTGCTTCATAGCCCCTAGCTGACCTAGAATTCGCTTGGTAACCCATGCTGGACTCAAACTCAGAAACTTCTACTTCAGCTTCCCAAGTACTGGGTTAGCAGGTGTGTCCAGCAGATTTAGCCAGCTTTTACAATTTTGCTGCACTGTTTTTCCTGTGTGTATAGGTACATGTGTATTTATAAAATGATCACTGATAGGGGAGGACTTCTTTTCCTTCCTTCTGATCCCAGACTGTTAGGTCTCATCGGGAGTGATTGCATTGTCTTCTTCTGTGGTCTGGTAAGGCTGCTCCCCCTTCAGGGGGAGGTGATAAAAGAGCAGGCCAATCAGTTCATGTCAGAGACAGTCCCTGTTCCTGTTACTATGGAAACGACTTGGACACTGAACTGCCATGGGCTACATCTGTGCAGGGGTCTTAGGTTCCCTCCATGCATAGTCCTTGGTTGGAGTATCAGTCTCAGGAAAGACCCTGTGTTCAGATTTTTTGGTTCTGTTGCTCTCCTTGTGGAGTTCTCAAGGAAAGATCTTGTCTCAAAATATAAGTAATTTTTCTTCATATTTTTATTTTTTAAATTATGTATATATATTTTTAAATGTTGGAGTGCTCTGTCTGCATATACACCTGAATGCCTGAAGAGGGCATCAGATCCCTTTATAGATGGTCTTGAGCCACCATGTGGTTGCTGAGAATTGAACTCAGGACCTTTGGAAGAACAGAGAGTGAATAAGTAAAATTTTAGAGCCAGTTGCAATCTCTGGATTCCATACATGTGCACATGCACTGCACATAAATATGTACACACACAAACATGTACACAAAAATGTTCAAATGTACTCAAAGTGTATAGAGTAGAAACTGTGTTTACTAGTCTTTCAAGCTTAAAATATTTTTGCCACATTTGTCACACTTCTAAATTTTTCTTTTTCTCTTTGTGACCCAATGGAAATTCTATTTCGTTTTACTTCCCATGCTTGACTTCGGCAGTAAGACACCTGGCTTTCTTAGAGAAGTATAGCTTATTACAAAAACTATAAAATTAACTTCCCTTCATACCATCTCATACCTAAATTCCTCTGGTGAATTAAGACTTATTATATAAATTTTATTAAACGTGGATATTTTGTAATACTCTGAAACACCTATCTTTCTTTTTCAGATTACGATGATGAACCAGGCTGTGTCCTGGATTTATTTTGTGTATCTAATCATTATGCTGAGGTGTTTATTCTTCATAGACTATGGACAGGTTAGTAAGAACTCAGTTGAAGGTTAATATTTTTAGGTGTGCGTGTGTGATAGGTGTGCATGTGACATGTGTAGTGTGATGTATGTGTATGTGATATATGTGTATAATCTATGCACGTATGTGGAAACTAGAGAAGGGCAGTTGGGTGTTCTGTTGCTCTCTGTCTTATTCCCTTGAGTCAGTGTCTCTCACTGAACCTGGAGCACATTGCTTTGGCTAGGCTGTCTGGCTAGCAAGACCCAGGGATCTGTCTTTCTCTGCCTCACAAGTGTTGAGGTTGTAAGCAAGTGCAGCCACACCTGGTTTTCATTGGAATACTGTGGGGATCTGAATTTTGGTTTTCTGCTTTTATTCCGTTTTTACGAGACAGGGCTTCTCTGTGTAGCCCTGGTTGTCCTGGGCTCACTTTGTAGACCGGGCTGGTCTCAAACTCACAGAGATCTGCCTGCCTCTGCCTCCCAGAGTGCTGGGATTACAGGTGTGTGCCACTGCATCTGTTAGGTTTTGTATTTTTTTTAATTGATGCTATTTTATTTGTATGTGTGAGTACTTCCATGTATGTGCAGCATATGCATTCCAGGACACCAGAAAAGTGTAATGGATTCCCTGGAACTGGAGTTATAAACCATTGTGAACCACTGTATGGGTGCTGGGAACTGAACTTGGGTCCTCTGCAAAAACAGCAAGTGCTCTTAATTACCTAACTCTCTAGCCCCTATGTTTTCTATTTAAAGTCCCTCCCCTCTCCCCCCGCCTCACTCTCTCTCACACACACCAGCAGTAATTCTTACCCAGTTTGAGGCATAAATAGTGGGAATCCATAGCAAGTACACTGAAGAGATGCTACAAAGAATTGCCAATAGTCTGTCTATGGAGGCTATAAATGAGATTATAATTCTGTTCTCTCAGCTTCCTATACACATTTCCTACCTAGACACTGCCTGTGCTCATACACGGTATGTAAAGTGTACACACATATACACACGAGTTACATGCTGTCATATAGTACTAAAATTTTTGGAGTTTTAAATATTAGTACATATAGACCTATTCACATGATTTTTTTTTTGTCTTTTAAACATTATTTTATAGTTGAGTGTGTGTGTGTGTGTGTGTGTGTGTGTGTGTGTGTGTGTGTGTGTGTCAGAGAGAGAGAGAGAGCACGCATGTGTGAAATATAACTCAGTCTGGCTTGAAAGTTTGTGTATACCCCAGATTGGCCTCAACTCAGCAGTCCTCCCCAACAGCCTCCCCTGTGTGGAGATCACAGATATATG